TGCCTGTTAAGCTTCTTGAAGGTGGTGATAAGAATTTAATTTAAAAGATGTAGAAACAGTGCCTCCAAGTGGCCTTGGTATGATATTGGCAATGCAGTAAAGTTTCCACCTGCTGGCCAGTGGGGTCACAGGCTTTTAGTGCTTAAAAGAGTCAGAATCTAAAAAGCATTGTAATACACACAAAGTAAATGTAACAACATGATTTTAAATGTGCACTTTTAGGGCAGCATCAGCTAGTCAGACCTGGCCAAGCCTTGCTATTATAAGCCAATCTTGATCTCCATGACAATGAGGTTCCTCCAACAAATGACTGGCATCACTCCTACTCTCTCAGCCCTGCTCTCCAAACTAAGAAAAATCATGGATTTGATCAACTGGTCTCTCAACGCAATTGACACCATCTTCTCGACGAGAAGCCCAGGTTCGGGGGAACCTGACTGTCCTGCAAGAACGTACGCAGCCGGCTACACGATGGACGGATGGGAGACGTGGAGGGTCGTGTGTCTGGCAGCTCTTTCTGTGGAGGACATCGAATATATTTACCTATTCGGAACCATGATTACAGGTCTGATGCTGATTGGATTAGGCATTGCCCTGGTTTATCAAAGATTGAAGAAAACGGTGACAAGCGCTCAAAGCCCCACTAGGCTGGCCGGGATGGTAGAGCTGTTGGCACTCAGACTGTGACTATAGATCGCAAATTGGATACATCACTGTGACTATTGATCGCAGATTGGATAACATCACGGAGAAGCTCACGGCTTTGCAAAGGATTTTGGATGGCGGAGACCAGCGTGGACATTAGAGGAGCTGCGAAATTACAGCTTCTCGCCCGAAAACCCAAACAACCCATCCTATCTGCTTTTTTCTGTTCCTGCATTGTACTCCCTTTTTTATTCTCCTCCTCCCTCCTCATGTAATCCTGTTTTCTCTGTTCTTCCTATATCCCCCGTCTTCCTGACCTGTCTACCCCCTATAATGTGATGTTTGTATATGTATGGTCGGGTTGATGGTTTTTCGCTGGTACTTGTGACTAGTGACATGGTGTATTGCAACAGCAATAAAGGTTTTCATCATCCTGGTTTACCTATAGAACTCATCTTTCTAAGAACCAAGATCACCTTGATGAGTATCAAGAGTTATGTGTGATGTTAAGCATATGGTAAAATTCTTCCTTATTTATTTATTAATAATAATAATTATTATTGTTGTAATATCAGTTTCTGGACTGAATTGTTTGGGTAGAATGAATCTATGAAGGAGCTGTGAAGGAGGACATTGCGAGTGCTAGCAGAGCAGCGCTGGGTGTCCTAAACCCTTTAGGTTGGAAACTAAATGCATCAATTTTACATGAACTGCAACCTGACTCCTTTTATCAACACCCCTAGAGACGTGGGGAAGTATCATTATTAACAAAATAATAAGGTTACAACAACAACGGCAAGAAGAACAACAACAATAGTGCATTTAATTTGTGCAGCACTTTTCAAGACCCCGAACACGCTTACAGTAGGTTAATTATAATTTTCCCCACACAAATATACAGATATTATAGTAATGATATTATGTCACAGCTAATAAACAGAGAGCTATCATATTATATTACAGATATAGGCAGGAGGTTGCTACTGCATGTGTGTGTTCTTCATACAGGAGCCCAAATATGATGCTGCTATGGTGGGAGCCGTACGCCTCCTTTCTGTTATGACTGCCGCTACGTTAATGGACAGGGCTGGTAGGAAGCGACTCCTCTTCACTTCAGGTATGTAAAGGTACAGGCTGACATCTGCAAGCTCATCTTCTAGGGCCCTGACTTACTGAAAAGCCCAGGAGAGGAAGCACTGATAGCAGTAACTGTACATGATTGGTGTATATTAATAGTGCTTATCTATGAAAAAAACAGCTACAGACTAAGGCTGATTGGTCTTTGCCTTTCCTTTAAACAGGCTTCCTGATGTTTCTTGCTAGCCAGTGTATGAGTCTGTACACTCACACCGGAAGCTGTCCCTTTGTGAATATCACGACCTCATCTACTCATCTAAGTGTTCAGCAACCTCCTGACTTCCTGCGGAGTCCACAGTTTGACCCAGTTACCCTCATCCCACTGTTAAGCACGATGATCATTATATTTGGTATGTTTGGTCATGTGACTGGCATTTCCTTCATTGTGTATCCTAACCCCATGCTGCCTAGGTCAGATTCCAGGGGCCTCATTTATAAAGAGCGTTTGTTAATTATTTTGGGAGAGGAAATGTGCGTACGAAAGCCCATCCTTTGTACGAAAAGTAAAAATAAGATGTCTAATACCTTGCATAAACCGCGATACGTGTCGTATAAGTTACTAGTCGCACACATCTTGGAAATATTCGCACATAGAACAGACATTGTGCTACGCAGCTTCCTCAAACATATAAAGTGGAGCAGGACTGACATTACTTTGACGTATCCATCTCACCCTCAAGGTTATGCCATGGGATGGGGTCCTATCACGTGGCTTCTGATGTCAGAAATCCTGCCTCTAGGGGCCCGGGGTAAGGCATCTGGCCTGTGTGTTGGAGTTAGCTGGGTCACCGCCTTCGTCTTGACCCAGGTCTTCATGCATGTGGTGGTGAGTTACCTTCAGGCCTCAATCATGCACCCACATCTCGGAGGTACAACAATCACCGTTCTGTCTTTGCTGTACACTCTAAGCATGTATGTTTTGATAAGCCTTAAGTCTGCTCCTGACACTCTGTCGCTCTCTGTTAGCTAATTGAATTGACCTTAAAGGATAACATTTGTTTTTCTTCTTTATCCTTGCAGGAAAACTTTGGCCTTTTTGTGCCTTTCACGTTTTTTTCAGTGGCGTCAGTGATCAACATACTTTTCACAGCTTTGTGCGTCCCAGAGACAAAGGGACGGACTCTGGAGGAGATTGAGAACTATTTTCGCACTGGACGTACTTTTACTATTATTGAAAATTGATGTTCTTTAGACAGGTTTCTGACCAAACATTTTGCTGACTTCACAGATTTGCCTGGCACTTTGTAAATGCCTACAAAGACAAACTGACCACTTCCTCAATTAAATACTTATTTTATAAAGGGTGCTTGATCTTTCCCCCCCCGTTTAGAAGATGTAAATGATAAAACCAGGAGAAATAGTAGTAATGCATGTTTACACTTTATACGGGATACATGGAAAATGTTTGTGCCTTTCATGTTGAAAATTAAAATTAAGCATCATTGATTTATTGGATGACAGTAGCTGGAAAAAAGCCTGGAAAACCGATCATCCAAAGACACAAACAAATGCATTTGTTGTGCAACAGACGAATGATACAGGTCAGACCTATGGGAAAATCTGCTAATCTACACGTGAACAAATGAGCTATCCTACAAAGTAAATACACATACAGGCAGTCCCCAGGTTAAAAACTCGTACTTTTGAACAAACTGCTACAAAGTGTAATATATAAAAATTTTCAGTTATATACAATTATTCCTAATAACGAACCTACATACCACAACATTGCACGGCTTCACCCACTCATAAACTCAAGGTACAGTACAGTATGTAGTTACAGTACTTATTACTACTGTATTATTATTATGCACTGTATTATTATTAATACTGTATTATTATTATGCACTGTATTATTATTGTGCACTGTATTATTATTAATACTGTATTATTATTATGCACTGTATTATTATTGATCTGCATTACCTACAAATTAGACTGACAAAGGGTTTCATGCACAACCAGGGGACTGCCTGCAAACAATGGATACATACATGTCAAGAATTTCCCCCAGGATGAACAAAGTTTACTTCATGTGCTTTTTGTTCTTATATCCCGCCCAGTTCCTGTGTGCTGTGACACTCAGCTCACTATAAAGGAAGGGCTACTCAAAGTGAGAAAGTCAAATTGTTGTAGTTAAACTAAGAAGTCATCATTTTTGACATACCACGCACTTCCAGATTTTCAAATGCAGCATTGAAAAATATGATCAACTTTTTTTATTCATATATATGTTTCAGCAAGGAAGACCACTTCAACCAGGTACAGAAGTCTGTAAGGAGCCATTATAAATCACAAGTGAGATGCAGTGTTGGCCTACTGCCTACGTATCCATCCATCGATCCATCAATAATCTAAATCTGTTTCCACATTTTTGCTCCCTCACAACTATCAGGGAATTGGGAGACCTGCAGTTTTACTGCAAAAATGTTTGTTCAAACTCCAATTCTTACTCTAGGTGCAAAAACAAAACAAAACAAAAAAACACAGGATTTAAGGAATTATTTATATATATATATACAAACTCATGTTATCTCCTGGACTGTCAAAGTGGTCATTTATTTCAGTTATTGTGGAAGTTTTCAGTACATGGTTACAGCAACTATTCAGTATTCTTATGGAACAATATTGAAAAATTCTAGTAAGATGTCTGCTCCCTTTCCTCTGACGTTAGGTGCCCACGCGGTACTGTGGGGTACTTAACCCAAATTGCTTCAGTGAACTTTAAAATAAATCTGTACTTTGCTTTGACATTTTTCAATTTAGCAATGTACACATGAGGAAAGCTTTGTGTCAGAGAGCCAGGTCAGACAGCATCCCTGGAGGGGGCGGGGTTGAGGACCTCAAGGGGCTAACAGTGATTTGAACCCACAACCTTCCCAACACAGACCCAAGCCCTTGAGCTACTCACTTCCCTCACTTTGAATGTCTGTTTACCAAAACTAAAGAATATAACATCCAAACAAGTATTACTGATGTGTTAAGATGAATAAGAAATGAAGCAGCATGGTCTCACTGCTCAGGTTACTATGGTGATGCCTTTTTTCTCCCATTGTGCCGGTTGACGGTACCATTGCTTCACTAGTTCCTGGCCACCAGGTGGCAAACACACTCAGGAGGGAAAAAAATACATCAGCTGTGAGACACAAAAAGTGAAACCAAAACAGAATGTATTCATTTAATGCACATACTCTGGTATTTTCAGCTTAGCGGTTCTTACCAATGTGAAAGACATTGATTGATTATGTTATACTACAAATACTGTGGACAGTATTACTAATGTGGAAAAAAGGTAACAGACACATTTAGCTAGTCATCTTTACAAACATTTTGTAGGTCGCCGAGTAGTGCTTTCAGAATGGCACACGCTGCATGACGTGTGACAAGCACCAGTACACAGTTGTGTAAATATGAACACAACTTTTATTAATAAACAAAATCAAATGCAACTGTCAAAGACACTAACACACACCAAGACAGGGGAATCTGCAGCCACACACACTGTACAGTCGCAGTGGTCAGCAGCAGTGGAGTTGGTTCACCAGGTCAGGTTTCTGATACGAGGTTTGGGGGGGGAGGAGGGGTCACAGAGCAACCACCTCACATGTGTCAGTCTCTTCATTGCCCCGTTTCTGCTGATCCAGTTGGTTGTAAGTCGTAGCGCCCCCCCTGGAAGACAAAGAGGGAAAGAAAATTTGATTTGGTAGCATTAACAAGTGTGTTACTGGTCTGATACCATTACAGGACTGCAATAATACACAGTTTAAATTGACAAATCAATTTAACATTTACATTCTAATCATTCTTTGCACCTTGTTGTGCCAGCAGAAATACCACAAAAATAAAAGGCAGAGAAAACATTTTATGAGACCACATCAACACTGGAATGACGTAAACTTCAATAATTCCTTACATTTTAAGCAGTTGAAACATCATAAAAACCCACAGAAATGCTTATCTGTGGCCCAACAAAGTACACTACATTTCCAAGGAAAACAGCCTCACTTTTTCCCCAGGGATCCCAGACCACACAGGACTCCGGTCGCAAAGGGTATCGCATTTCCCAACAACGTGGTGAAGGTAAGGCTTATAAGAACCGGAACTACTGCCATTCTACACACAAGAGATTAGAACAGAGACAAGCCACGTTTGTAAGAAATATCACAACACAGCAATGACTTTAATCTTTACTCGTTACCATAATAAATGATAATAATACGAAACATCAGCTTCTGGGGGCACACAGGAAACAAAGTAAAACAGGATTAAAACAGGATGAACATGAAACAGTTAATGATTTTTCAGACAATAAATTCTTGTTATCGTTTATTATAATGCTGCACATTCAATGCTTAGAATATCGATAATGTATAGCCACTGGCAGCATGGTGTGATATTTCTGGGCACCTTACAGACTACAAAAGGAAATAGACCTTTTACCCGCAATAGAAAGCACCCTTCTGCCAAGGGCTGAGCTTTTCCACACGGCTGGAAACGACATCGGCAAATTCGATGAACTGACAGCAGAACGGCGCCTCGCACAGGAACAGAACGAAGGCATTCATCCTGTGAAGGAGCGAATTGCGCAGCAGCAAACGGGGAATGAGCGTCAGAAATGCGCTCCACGCAAACCAAAAAACACGTGGAAACAACGGACATATAAAAGGGATATTATTAAATCACACTTGTTGAGTTGAATGACTTAATAAAGGAGAAATAAGTACTTACACCATCCACACTCCTGCGATGATATTTAATGGGTTGATGGTGATACAGTTGAATAAACCGGCAAAAGCGCAAGCTGTGGAGGATAATCGGTGTGAAAATCACATTTTGCCGGCAATCATCCATCCATCCATCGCCTGTGTTCGTTAGACTTTGGATCCCCAGCAGTCACGGCACATATAAATAACTCAGCCTAAACTGAAGGACAAACAGGATGGCACCGTCTGAGAAGCTGCACACAGCTGCAGTAATACATGAAATAACTACTTTATGAAACAAAAGCCCTTTCAAATGCATTTAATTCTTACACAGTGACAAGAGACTTTGCCAGTTGATTAAAAAAGCATATTTAACCCCCAGCAACAAAATGCCCGCACGTTTTGTTTGGCTAAAAACTACATAATATTTTTCAAGTAGTCATTGTAAAAACATAAACGTTGTAAACTGATATCGTGCCCAGTGTCATTCCTGTGTTTTTCATGTCAGAGATGGCTGCACTAGGGGCTAATTAACTTTTCTTTAATTCCTCATATTCATTGTAGGATGTTCTGTTGTTCTGTACGTTTTTATCTGTAATTTTTCTGCAATGTTTACTTGTTTGCACTGCATGTTTATTTACGCACCTTACCGCTGTACACGCAAGAACCCCCCTTCAAGAATCAGTAATGTATCTTATTTTAAATACCCAGCAGGGGGAAAAAATCTATCAAAATGTGACATGGCATTCCATTTAAAATCGGTATTTAACTATGAATGCCCTACACCAGGGCAGAGAAATCAATTCGCTGCAAAAACATTCCGCTTCTTTTCCTGTTCTTTACGAGTTACGTGAGCTAAACTTATTTTAAAAGCTTCTTAAATTTGTCCGTCTTCTAAATTATACAGAGACTCATTAAACATGGATACTCTGCGAAGGTGATATGGTCACCCTTGTACCAGCGTCACTCTGGCTAGAAGCATGCAGCACAAAACCCAGATACTGTAGCTGCGGCACAGCCAAATGTAAGTGAAAAGGGGCGCGTTTTAATGGATCAAATGTTTTTCTACGTGTGAGCGTGAAAAACTAAATATCCGCACTAAAGAAGCAGAGGGCACCGTGGAAAAAGGCACCTTCCCAGAAGAGAGGAGCTGAACCGTGAACATGTCGAAGGAAACGGACCGCTGATTCACAGCACATTAAGTGTAACCCTATCTTCAGGTGCCAGGGAATAAAAAACAAAACTAAGTTGCGTGATCAAGGGGACTAGCTGGGGGAGGAGCGCAACTTAAAACAAACTGGAAAATAGGCCAACTGCAATTCTACAATGTGAAAGACAGGTCGTTACCTTGCAGACTGTCAAAAAAACACAAAAAATTGTTCTTTGGAAATACACGGTCCATCTGTTGCACTGTACAACCAAAGTTAGAAACTAGATAAAACAAAGTGCAATTTCATGTACTAATGATAACCAACTGGCATTTTTTACGTTAACTAGTCTTAACTAAAACTTGTTTATTCGTGTGCCTGATAGGTAATAGTTCACACTGGACTGAGCTGCTATTTTATATTACATAATCAAGACCACCTATAGGAATGTCATGATTACCGTTAGGTTCGGGGGGGTGGAGTCCAAGCTTCCATTCCATCTCATAATAGTAATAGTAGATACATTTAAATATTTGGGAAACAGTGCGACTACACGACTACTGTATGTATGACTGATGGCTATATTAACACGCAATTGCATGTACGTTTATATACAATAAGCACAGTATACTACAGTATAAGCAAAGCAAGAGGAAAAACCAATGCAACTGGACAAAGCAACTGACTAACGTACATTCGCACTTGCCAATTTACTTACAGACCCCACCGACGAGGGCTCCGCCTTTGCACATCCATCGGTACCACCAGGTTATACTTTCGTCCTCGGTTTTAGCCTTAGTGGCGGTCGCTTGCTCCTCCGATGTCATGTTGCACTGTACTTAACCTTACAGAAGATTTAAAACCTTTAGTCAAGTATCCGGATAAAAAAATGAGTTCACAGAGAACACCCAAGATACTCTTGGGAAAACTTAATCTCTCGTAACATGAATTTAAAGTCTTACTTTAGGTCAAACATCCATTGCTAAGACTTCCTACGAGCACTTTAAACACACCTTGCGATGCCGTGGTGAACGCACGCATCCGATTGGTCAACTAGACTGTCGGTCAAGCTGAATAAGACAAGCCTACCCCCCAGGTAAATCCCATTTCGTTCCACGGCATTATAAAACATTTAACTTGGATAAGAGAAAACCTGTATGCGCGTAGTGTCAGAACCTTAACTTTCATTTTAGGCAGTATAGAGAGGTGCCTAATCGAAAAAGTGACATATATCCAACTCTCTTCAGCTCTCCTTATTTAGACTTTATTACATGGACGTACATTTATATCGAGATGGCGGTATATATATATCCCTCAGTTATATCATGTATAACATAACACTTTGTTTACAAAAGCACATACGTTAAATATCTCATCAAATAAAGTTTTTTTTCCTCCTGACAATTTTCACCTAGAGAATCCCTACCCTGTATTCGAATGGTTTAGTCTGAGCTCCCGCTCCTGTTGCTACACTTTACAGTTGGGAAACGTACGTATGTCATACTATGGCAAGCCGAAGTGTCTGATAGAGGACGCACTCGCCGTAGCTTAAATTTTACCAGTAAAACGAGTACAGTCATTTTTAATAGCACTAATACGCATTCCAAAGGTAATTCAATTTTGACTTGCACGAATCATTTTTACTAGCAAGAACTGCATTGTTACTAGTAAATTTTCATATTATAGAATATCTATAACTAAGATTTAACTAGTAATTTATTACAGTTGACTTCCACTGAACTTTTACCTTTCATATCCATAATTCCGCTTTTACTATACTAAGAATATTGTAGATATCTATAATTCGGTTTTTCATTAGTAAAAACTCCTATTGCAGATATCTACATCTTAATCCTAACTAGTCAAAAATTTAGGTCCACATCCATAATTCAGTTTTTACTAGTGAAAATGTAATTACTGATGTCTGCAGTTATATTTTATAGATCTGAAATAGCACATACATTGAATGTGAATTTCTACCAGTAACAATTGAATTGCAGATATCTGCAATGACATTTATACTAGTGAAGACTGAATTATGCATAAGTGGACCTTGAATCTTTACTAGTCAAAATTAAAATATACATACCTGTATCTTCAATATCATTCAGAGTTTTTACTAGTAAAAACTGAATTTCGGGTAAGAGGCAAAAATTCAATGGATGTCAATTACTAGTATAACCTGAGTTATATATCTATACAGTTCTTACTAGTAAAAATGATTAAATGTAAGCTATGCAGAGTTAGTTTTCTATTAAAAGACAGTTTGACTTGCCATACCCACTAAATACAGAGCAGTAAATAGCATCTGTCAGTCACAATTCTTATCCCACTTTTCACTGTCAGGCCATAGAAATGTGTAAGAAACCCGTCAAAATACGGGTCCAGACCAGGCATTTATTTGGAAAACACCATTAAGTAAGTTATTCACTTGCCAGAGACTCATACTGTAATCATTCAGTCCATAAGCAGTGCTGGCAGACCCATGTGTTGGTAAGAAGCGATTCAATAAATCGCCTATATTTATTTTAATGGGTCTCTAAGTCACTATATTATGTGTGTTGTGTTTGTGATTCTTTCTGGATAGTTAGGATGTGCTTGTGAGAGAAGACAGGGTGCAGGAAAGTGACAAGTGATCATACAATTCCCGGAAATTCATTACCACACTTAAAAACAGCTGTATTAGTGAGGATATCAGTAAAAATGGAAAGGTGAATTTCACTTTATATTTTATAATTGTAACAGCAATTTTTTTTTTTTTGGTAAAAAAAAAAAAAAAAAAAAAGTGTGGCTACAGAATCACCCTATAACGCAACCCCAATGTCAATATGAAACACACATCCCTGCTTTATTATATATACACAATCACCCTATAACGCAACCCCAATGTCAATATGAAACCCACATCCCTGCTTTATTATATATACACAATCACCCTATAACGCAACCCCAATGTCAATATGAAACCCACATCCCTGCTTTATTATATATACACACAATCACCCTATAACGCAACCCCAATGTCAATATGAAACCCACATCCCTGCTTTATTATATATACACACAATCACCCTATAACGCAACCCCAATGTCAATATGAAACCCACATCCCTGCTTTATTATATATACAC